TGAACAGGACACACTGAAACACGTGTTGCTCTCATGTCTTTAATTACATTCAAAAGGAAGAATTGTTGTGACAAATCATAAGTGCCGCATCCCAGATAACACTGACAAAGAGCAGGTTCGTCAAAGATAAGGGCTGAATCCCCTCGTCACTGCAGCGCAACTTTGCGATAGGTGCTCGGCTCGGGTTTATCCAACCGTGCCTTGAATTCTATTGGTTGAGGCTTTTGATATCACGTCCGTGGTCCTGCGCGGCCCGCTCCGCTTGGCGCCGCTTTGCATGTCCAGTGGGCACCACACTGTGCCTGTGCTGGCAGCAGCTCCAGGCACCGCTGCTCAGTCATGACAACGTCGTGTATGCATTAAAAGTGGAGCAAGCCAGCGGGTGCGAGAGCAGCCACTCTCTGATCCGCTGCAGTTCGGCACCAGTTCAGAACAGTCGCCAATAAGCTGAGTGGCAGCTTGCAGCGCTCGGACCGTTGTGGCGCTCATTCCGGCCGAAAGTTGTCACACACTCCTCTGAGCAGAAACTCTTGTTTTATGTTGAGAGGGAAGAAATTTCATCTGTGCTGTATGTTACACATACGTACAGCATATTTGACAATAAAGTTGTATTATATTCAATTCAATTCATGTGGCCCTCCTTTGCTTTTTCAGACTGAGTGAGGAGAGGGTGTCGCTGTCACAACTTTAACAAGGTTCTGTTTGCCTCATGCAATCATGTTCAAAGTCCTTAAGGTTGAAACGTTCAAAATCAAGAGCACTTGTCTTGATGCCAGCTGACTTTGGGCAAAAAGCAGCTGACACCCTCACACAGACAAACTCTCACATTCACACATCACTGAGTGGGAATTGAATCAGTGTCCCCCCGACCACATCAGCTCTTAATAATCTCGCTTACATCTGATCAGCTGTTTTATTTCTACGTCATGTCGTTCCCAGACAAAAGTTCAAATTGATTCCTATAATCGTGCACTGTTTGAATCGGATCTTTGTATTGCATATAGCAGGTGGGAACATTGTATTTCTCAGGACATCTCGGGTCCTGCAACCTTCACGGCAGCCTAACCAAACAAAAGGCAGACAGTGTTTGAGCATGAAAGGGATATAAGTCTAAAGCCATCCCCGTGTGAGATGTCCTTCTCACATAAGATTCCCATCTGAGCGGAAATGTCTAGCAAAACAGAGGTCATGGTGTCACAGTGACAACAAGTCACAGGAGCCCCAAGAGGATTTGCCACCTTTTGCCGTACCTGAGCAGCATCGTGGTGCGGTAAACGTCTTTGACTGGCATGTCTATGGCTCATGTTTGTTTTTCCCGTCATGATACATTTTTGTATTTCTTCTGAGTAGACATTGTTTGATCCCTTGAAGGCAGCTGGCAGCGTAACACACACTTGAAGATTCAATCATATAACTGCTCATCCCTCACCTATATTTAGCAAAGTAAACCAAGAAAATATCAATGAAAAAAGGTTTGCTTTATCTAATTTTCAAGTAAATGCTTGAAATGTATTCCGACACACAAATCCATTCATCATCTGAACTGCATTATCCTCGCAAGGGTCACGGGGGGTGCTGGATCCTATCCCAGCCGTCATCGGGCAGTAGGCGGGGGACAGCCTGAACTGGTTGCCTGCCAATCGCAGGGCACAGAGAGACGAGCAACCATTCACACTCACAATCACACCCAGGGACACTTTAGATAGAGTGTTCAGTTAACCTACGGTGCATGTTTTTGGAATGTGGGAAGAAACTGGAGTACGCAGGCACGGGGAGAACATGCAAACTCCAAACAAGAAGGCTGCGGCTCGGAGTCGAACTCTCGACTTCTGTACTGTGAGGCAGACGTGCCAACCACTTGTCTACTGTGCCACTACACACAAATTCACATGGTTGTAACTGTTAGGATAACATTGCAGGAAAAGTCCAATCAATATGAACGCCAGTTCAGCTCATCGCAGCAGTGGGCACTCACTCCCCCTAGGCCCTGACGTTTCCAAAAAGGAAGGTGTGATATCAATCAAATCAAATGTTCATGATGGCCATATGAATCAACCGTGTTCATTCACAACCTCGAGTGGTTCTATCCTGTGGCTTGTTACCAATCAGAATCACTGTAAACGTTTACATTCCCTCTCCAGGGAGGCTTAAGGCACAGACTGAGAGGGTGAAAGTGGAACTAAAGATGAAATGATTTTATGTTACTTAGCAACCTGTTTCAAACATCCAATGATCAAATGGTCCTTTGCAAGCAGGGGTAAAACAGCAGCACCAATCAGAAAGAGACCATGACAGCTGGATTTCCAAAGTGGGCCTCAGCGAGCTTCCCCTCAGGGAAAAACATGCCTCTGCAACTACAACTCTTTTCGTTTCCCATCCAAACAAGCTCCCACAGCTTCGTAAGAGTGATCCCCAACCAATTTGCTGTGTGAGATTATCAAGTACCCAATTTCACTTCAGTGGTCTGAAAATTACGAGTAATACATCTTTGTGCATCTACCGATGCAAGTGACATGTCAGAACAATGAACGCTCTTCAACTTGCTTTGTGTGACATTTTTTGTTTGGTGGTATACTGGGAGACTTTCAAGTAGGTGCCTTGGCTCAGTAGCAGTTAGGAAACACCGACTTAGTCAACAAAGTTGGTTGTCTTACAAACGTACTGTGACAGGAGCATCATTTGGACCAGTCCAATTTAAAAAAAAAAAGAAAAAAAAGAGAAACTTCACTGAGTCCTGGTCATATTTTCTCCATGTTCTGCTTGTCCTCTCTCACCACGCAGACAACTGCAAACGGACTCATTTAGCCCTCAGCTTCAGTCAGCATCAAAAGACTTTTCTTGATTTCTCTGGAGCTGATCAACCTACCCTTCAGTCTTATGACCTTCCCACAGGAGAAGCTCTTTACACTTTGTAGATTGTTCTCCAAGAGCATAGCGAGTTTAACGGCGTATACCGTTTACAGCACATTACTCTTGCATCATGGCCTGTATTAAATTAAAAACACAAAAGCAAACATGCGCCAACACATGACAAGTCAACTTTGGTCTATACAGGATATTCTGATGAGATGGAATTCCAGATGACAATTGGGTATAAGCCAACGGTCAACACTGATGCTTCCATATAAAATCTCAGCCAGGCCAATTATTTCCGCTTGTCATCTTCTCTTTGACATCCTGTTAGATTTTTCTAAATGCTATCTGCTGGGCAATGCTACACTCCTGAAGCAAAATTAAACGGTTTACGTTTCAGCGAACAGGAAGCAATACTGCCGAGCATCGCTTTGTGCCTTTGGGGCAGGCTTCTCTATAAAGTCCAACAGCATTCTTTGCGTATGTTGTTGTTTTTATATATCCCGTGGATGCGTCAGATTCAACATCAACGGATCATCGCTATCCGCAGGGACAGCTTTAGCATAAGACCTCACAACCAGGTGTGAAGCCAGCCATTCACGGAGTAACGAATGCAGTATTGGGAGTGGAGTATACACAATTAGCAGAGCAAATGTCAAGTACAGCAGTACATGACATGTATTGTGTCATGTATTGTAATGTATCATGACACGTATTCCATTGCACGGCTCAACCGCGGCAGAGAATTTGGTGATAAAAAGTAGACTCAATTTTAGATTCGCAAAAAGCAGGTCTAAGTGGTGGCGCAGGTGGTATAAGGCGATTTTGATCGATTTGATCGAGGCGCAGGCAGACAGATTAGGAGCTCCGCGGACATGTGTGGTGGATGTCATCGTATTTCATTCAGAAATATGGCAACAGAATAGGAAAATCCCTCGGAATTATTGTAGAAATCAATTCCTTGAATGAGTTTCATTCATTATAATCTTAAAACTATTTTAATAGCTGCCCCCCCATGGGTGGTGGGTTTACTTGCAGTTTACCTGCAAGCGCACGTCATGCAGGCCAGTGTAATGACCAGTGCGTCCGCAAGGTCAAACACTGCGTGCACCTCGACCGGCCTGATTTTGAAGGGAATGAGGTGGGGCCGCTTCGAGTGGACGGGAGTCGGCTGCATTCCATCCCACAACGGCGCACAACGGTACAAATGCCCTCTTCCAACTGAAAAGCCCAGCCATGCGCACGGTTAGACTGCACTTTGTGCAAAATTTTCACTGAGCACAAAACGAGCGCCTATTCACTCGTATAAGACACCACCGGTGGGATGTTTTTTTCACCTCACTTTTTCTACATCCTTATCAGCTCCATGGAAGATTGTGCCACCAGAAACACAGTGGCTTGGCTTTGTTGAAAACAAACGTGCCTTTTAACACATGAGCAGACATGCTAACAACTGTAGCCAACAGCATTTAGCCCTGTCACGGGCTTACAATTACAGTTTGCGATCAATTTCAAAGCCGTGTTAATTAATCTAGACTGCAGCACAATACAGGTCAGAGAGGGCAAACATGGAACAGCATCAACCAATTAGAAACACAAAGCTTTTGCACTTTTTTTCAGAACTGGTCTGAGGAGCGAGGAGAAAACATAGGACAGATGGACTCTTGATGTGATGCATAAAATTACAAAGTATTGATCATCATTGACGAAACCTACTGCTTTTCAGTTGTCACTTCTGAGGAAAACATAAATGTATATGTTACAAATTACACCGTACAGATCTGATTTCAGTCTCGCTTAGAAATAGGGACATCAGGAGCCTGAGCACTTATTTTTCCATTCATCTTCTTATTCAGTCAATTCTGCTTCAACTTCCATTTTGCATATGACAACGTTTATATTAAATTCATCAAAAACCCAACACTGTGTCATCACATTATACTGTAACTCAAGCAATGTGCAGTTTTACTGTCTTGTCGTGTTTTGAGATGATCCTAGTATTTGGTCTGTAAGATATTAGAACTTAGGGATAGCATACAGAGCAGCATTCGTAAAAAAAAAAAAAAAAAAACAGCACAGACATGTTCGTGTCATTTCCAAATATTAAATGCAGCGAAACAGTACGTGGATTGTCCTCTTTTACCCACCTCATTGGTGTTCCAGCGGTGTCTCTCCTTGGGCAGGGAGGTGCATTTGGGTAGACACTCAAGCAGCTTCTTGGGCAGGTATATTTTCAAATGTCCATGATCATCTACAACAAAAGAAGGACATCACAGCAGCATTATAGCGCCGGCCTCGTATTGCAAAGTGCAGGCAAATGAAGACAGGAATTGAATGGAGCATAGATGTGATTTACCGCTTATTTTAATAATAGATTACACAATCTATCAAGGGAGCTGACCCAACATTTTTCACCGTCAACTTGTGAAGACTGTGTCTACTCATGATTTGGACATTTGAGATCATCGACACCCTTGAGCGATTGTGTAGCCTTTTGGGGATTGAATGCAGGAATGTGCTGCTGCATGTTACGTGCCGCTTCATACTATTCCGAAAACAATCACCACAATGGCCAGGCCTAGGGCTTGTAACATCATCCAAGCTTAGCTACAATGTGAACTTGCCAAATCATTTTACAAGCATTACAAAGCTTATGCATCCCCACATGCATGGGTGCACGTCAATGTTTTATTCATTACGCCGCTCTCTCGCTGCTCACACGTGCACACATTGCAGCACTCGAGGGGAAAGCAGACTACATTGTGCACGGCCCTCCTCGGGAAGGTGACGAGATGAATCACATTTGTGAGCCAAATGCAAAATAGTGATTGTCAATGATGGCATGATAACAGCTGCTGTGGTTCTTGTCTCCCTGGCTTAATGAGGCATGCGCGTCAGCCACAAACAGCAGCAGCTGCCACTTTTAGCTTGTTTTGGACTGTACTGGATGCACACTTGGAGATGCCGCAATTCTATATGCAGAATTGAACCTAACAAGTCAATTACAAGTCCCTGGAAAGTAAAATCATGGATTTATTTTTTAACTACAACATATATGTTTGCGCAAAACACGTGACAGCCAGGTGTGGTCGCTTTGGAGTGCCTTGTTGCAGCATGGAAAAGCCCCACTGACGTGGCTACTTGACTGACAGTTTTGCTTTGAATCAAAAGTTTGTGACTTTTGAGAGCAACAAGCGAAGCAGTAACTGAACTACGGAGCTTTCTGAGTACAACATCGAAAAGCCTCCCATGTGACATTGTGTCAATATTGATTACTTTTTTAAATCACTAAACACTACCAAATAAACTAAAGTAATTGGTTAATATACAGTCATCGGTTTTGCAATACACTTGAATCCAGAATGAAATCGTATCCACTTATTTAATTAATCGATCGAATAATTGATGAATAACGGATTGTTAAAAACGTTGGCTCGGGCCATCCTTAATTGCAGGGATCCAAACAAACAAGCCGATAAGACAGGAGATTCAGAGCAAACAGAATGTGAACAGAGACAGAAAACAGCTGACTACGTGTTATTCGGGTGGCTGATTTGAGAAGTACTCAGTAATATAAGAGAGAAAAGTTCAAGTCAAACAAAACACCACTTTTAAGCCAAAAGAAATCATCCGCTGCTGCTCTTGACGATGGGGACATAAGAGGAGCATATGTGGCTCGATGCACATCTCAGTGCTGTTGGCCAAACTGCTCCATATGGACAATTTGCTGCAAACGGGTCCGTCGAGATTGAGCGGGAGCGCCTAACATGGAAAACCATTGCTTCTCCTTGAGGAATTTGGTTATGGGTAAAAATCAGACATAACATCTGCTGGGTGGCTGGCGGGTGGACCGCCCGAAAAGATGCGAATGAGCGAGTCCAGATCAAGAAGCAGCAAAGGTATGGGCAAAGAGCTTTCAGACCAAAAATGTTGCAGTGCTGCATCAGTGTAGGGTGGAGAAGGCCGTGCTTTATTCAACCAATTCACATGTATACCGGTGACGGTCTTGGCGACCGCTCGGTGCAGTGCGCAGAGAGAATTCGTTTGACAGAGCAGTGGCGGCACACATGATCGGGGATTCAGTGCTGCCTTCGGGCAAAATAGCAGCAGCATGGCGAGACGGAGCTGCACTGGAATACATTGCAACCAGCACAGTTGAGATACACATCAGACAGGAGGCCAAAATCCCCACAAATCAAATATCCCAGCAGTGAGAGTCGTCACGAAAATGCATGTTAAGGTCAGAGCAGGGAAAGAAAAAGACGGTTCGTTTGCATAGAACGCATGCCCTGTTGAGTCCTGTAATGTCTTTGATTCATGCCATTTTTGTCCTTGTATTTGAATGTCTCCCTGTTCGTCATTTGACATAGTGCAGGGGTCCCCAACCGCCGCTCCGCGGACCGGTACCGGTCCGCCGGGCATTTGGTACCGGGCCGCACAGAAAGAACTTGCCTTAATTCCGTTTTATTTATTTCGGAATACGAAAGATGTTTTATTTTGAAAAACTACCGGATTCTCCGTTACATCCGTCGGTGTGACGCTTGACACACTTCAAGCCGCGCTTCTCCTTCACGTGACCGATTACTTCAAAACAAAACGCGGGAGCTCGCAAAATGAGTAAAAAAAA